TTTTTGCCCAACCACTCCCACAAACATGATACAGTTCTGCGGTGATCTGGAAGCCTACTTTTGCCGTCTCCAACTCAAGGAATACTTTCAAGACAACACTGAACAGTGCACTGACACGTGAATACCCTCCCACTAAAGTACAAGAAGAAGAATTCTGTATGGACTTTTCCTGAGGATCGAAATGACAGACCGGACCTATACATAGAATGCTTCCACCAACGTGCAGAGGCAGAAATTGTGGAAAAGCAGCATTGCTTGCCCCATAACGTCAGCCATGAAGAATGCAATGCCATCCACAGCCTCAGAAACAACTCTGACATTATAATCAAAGAGGCTGATAAAGGAGGAGCAGTTATCATCATGAATAGGGCAGATACCAAAAGGAGGCTGCCAGACAACTCTCCAATGCCACATTCTGCAGGCCTAGTTGTCTGAAAAGGTTAAGAACTATTGTGATAAAGCATAACTTTTAGAAATATACCTAATATGGTCATAATGATAGAGAATACAACACAACACTACACAAGCACAGGAACAAATCTACACAGACACACCCCTAGAGCCCTGACCAGGGTTATTCTATCTATTACCCAAGATCCATAAGCCTGGAAATGGACACCCCATCATCTCGGGCATTGGCACTCTCATTGCAGGACTTTCTGGATATGTGGACTCTCTACTCAGACCGTACGCCACCAGCATTCCCAGCTATTTCTGCAACACCACTGACTTCCTGAGAAAACTACAATGAATTGGTAGACCTTCCAGAAAACACCATCCTAGCCACCATGGATGTAGAGGCTCTCTACACCAACATGTAGATGGAATACAAGCTGTCAGGAACAGTATCCCAGACGATGCCACAGCACAACTGGTGGCCAAGCTCTGTGACTTTATCCTCACACACAACTATTTCAGATTTGGGGACAATTTATACCTCCAAACCAGTGGCACCGCTATGTGCACCCGCATGGCCCCACAATATGCCAACATTTTTATGGCTGATCTGGAACAACGCTTCCTCAGCTCTCATCCATTAGTGCCCCTCCTCTACTTATGCTACATTGATGACATCTTCATCATCTGGACTCACAGGAAAGAGACTCTGGAAGAATTTCACCGTGATTTCAACAATTTCCACCCCACCATCAACCTCAGCCTGGACTAGTATACACAAGAGATCCACTTCCTGGACACTACAGTGCAAATAAGTGATGGTCACCTAAACACCACTCTATACCAAAAACCTACGGACCGCTATGCCTACCAACATGCCTCCAGCTTCCATCCTGGACACACCATACGATCCATTGTCTACAGCCAAGCACTAAGGTACAACCGCATTTGCTTCAACCCTTCAGACAGAGACAAACACCTACAAAATCTACACCAAACATTCTTGAAACTACAATACCCACCAGAGGAACAGAGGAAACAGATCGACAGATCCAGACTTGCACCCAGAAGCCTCCTGCTACAAGACAGGCCCAACAAAGAAAATAACAGAACACTACTGGCCATCACTTACAGTCCTCAACTAAAACCTCTCCACCGCATCATCAGCAATCTACAACCCATCCTAAACAATGATCCCTCACTCTCACAGACCTTGAGAGGTAGACCAGTCCTCCCCCACAGACAACCCACCAACCTGAAGCAAATTCTTACCAGCAACTATACACCACACCACAGTAACTCTAACTCTGGAACCAATCCCTGCAATAAACCTCGGTACCAACTCTGCCCACATATCTACACCAGCGACACCATCACAGGACCTAGCCACATCAGCCACATCATCACGGGCTCATTCACCAGCACATCTACCAATGTAATATATGCCATCATGTGCCAGCAATGCCTCTTTGCCACATACATTGGCCAAACTGGACAGTCCCTATGTAAAAGAATAAACGGACACAAATCAGATATCAGGAATGGTAATATACAAAAACCTATAGGAGAACACTTCAGTCTCCCTGGACACACAGTGGTAGATTTAAAAGTAGCCATCCTGCAACAAAAAAAAAAAACTTTAAAAGACTTCAAAGAGAAACTGCAGAGCTATAATTCAACTGCAAATTGACACTATCAGTTTAGGGTTAAACAAAGACTGTGAATGGCTAGCCAACTACAAAAGCAGCTTCTCAACTCTTAGTATTCACCCCTCCATATCAGCTGTTAGAAGTGGGCCTCATCCTCCCTGACTGAATTGACCTCATTATCTCTAGCCTTACTCTTGATTGGAACTCTTTTCTTAAGCCTGTATATTTATACCTGCCTCTGGAATTTCCACTACGTGCATCTGATGAAGTGGGTCTTTGCCCACGAAAGCTTATGCTCCAATAAATCTGTTAGTCTATAAAGTGCCACAGGACTTCTTGTTGTTCTTGCAATTTCAATCTAGTATTTGCAAGTTTATCATGGTCAATTTGTAAATATGTGATTCTTGTTCAAAGGATTTAGCAAACACCAACACATCTTTTATAATAGGGTGGCAGAGTACTTACCATGCTGTACTCCTCACAAGACCTGCTGTTCAAAAGCAACAGGAATATTGGGCAATCAAGAACTAAATGTTTTCATTCTATGGCCAGCATTTTAATACAGAGATTTTTCCCATTGACCACTTGCCCTCTTCTTGATAATCACACGATTCTCCTGGATTTATTTTCAAAATCTTCTGGCAACTACTGTAATTTGTCACATGCATGAGTAATATTAAGAAAATATTTAACGTGGCTGTAGCTGTTTTAATTCAGTTAAGAATAATGAAACAAGTAGAAGCCAGCACACTGTGACCAGCCAGCTCTCTGACTGTAGAGTGGGAAACTCTGATCTTGAGAGCATTACTTTAAACTGCTACAGCCTTTCTCTTGCTACAAAAGGAGACTTCTCTCTGCCTTATGGATCTGTTTCTCTGTTCATAGCTACTTTAATGAAGATTCAGGGCTGGATTCAGTCTAAAATGGATTCAGCCACTGTAATCCAGGTCTCCATCTTGTAGAAAGTCCACTTACAGGAGGGCTGTAGTGATGCAAGGCACCCAGAAGTTCCATTTGCTGTCAGCCAGTGCAAACCAAACATTAGGTTTAGCACATCCTCTGGGCACACTTCTACATGTAACAAAGTTACTTTCCCCTGAGAGAACCAGTGAATGGAGAAGCACAGTGCTAATGCTATCCATCCTTCACTGGCACTGGCAACTTGTCTATGGGGTGCAGCAAACTGCATCTCTAAACAATGATGCAGTGACTACAGTGATACAAAGACTGTATCATATACATATATATTCATTCCTTTCATGGGAATGTTCCAGGACTGAATTTGAAGAATCTTTTACTGGCATTTATTATGGTGTTAGAAACATTGCATTCCCAACCTAATATGAATGTAATTTATTGTATCAGTCTCTCAAACACCAGACTCAAATTCCACAGGTTCAGCTTTTAAGATGTATTTTCCTCCATTTATGGGCTGGTGTTTCCTCCCAAATCAGTGTCAATATGAATCTAATTTCACTGGTCAATTTTGTCAGATTCGTCAATTTGTATAGGCTCTCTCATAGCTCATGTGGACTTCTCTCCTCCTTGCGCTGGACTCTGACAACTGAACCTAATGACTGGCCCTCAAACCATTTATCAAGGGCTTCCACTAAGGCTAGAGAACCCTTCCCCTCTCCTCCCTGGAGCAGGGCCCCCAGTGCCCTGGGGCTGCATGGGAGGGTTTGGCCCCAGGCTGTTCCCAGCACAGCTGGCTACGATCACTGCCTGGGGAAGCTGTCATCAGCTCCCAGTGTATGCAGGGTGGGGGGGAGCCAGCCCTGGGAAGGTCAGGAGGGGACTGAAGGGGGGCAGGGCAGATAAGGGAGGTGAGAGGGAACAGGGATGTGTGAGGCACTGAAGGGAGCTTGTGGGGAGGTGGATTCAGGGGAGACTTATGGGGCAGATGGGAGCAGGGGTGCAATGGAGGGAAACTCTGAGGGGGGGGTCACAAGGAGGGAAAAGGGGAATGTGAGGAGGGGAGGGTGGGGAGAGACTGGGAGCAAGAGCAGCCTGGCTGGGGAAGGGAGAGACACAGGGCAGGGGTTGTACAGAAGGAGACAGGGGAGATACAGTGGCAGCTCCCCCACCCCATGGGGCAGGAGGGGAGAGGGCAGAGGTGACTGGTGGTAGCACTTGGGGGCACCAGCTCCTATGTCCCTGATAAAATGTCACTTGCTAAATAGGGTGCCCCACATGCCCCCTGCCCCTGTGGATGCCCCTCCCTGCGCCCTCTCTCTGCAGGCACCAATCATCTCTGGGGAGGGGCTACCCCACCCAGCAGCCCGAGGGGAATTTTCTGTGAATTTTTTTTACTGTTGTAAATATCTACAAACTCTGATCCGTTACAACGACATGTACTGTGTGTGTACAGACGCAATGTAAAATAACACGTGACCTCTTAAAATTAATTATCATAATGAATATACAAAAATACAAATAAAATGTTGCCAGTCCGCCAAAAGCTTGTGATTGGGTTTGCTGGTCCACGGTATAAAAAAGGTTGGGAACCACTGACTTATGTTAAGCCTCTTCAACCCTTGACCCATGCATATGGCATGCAATATTATATTAGGCTCAATGAAATTTGGAGGAAGACCTCCCTTCAAATGCCGTCGATTTCTACAACACTTGAGCATGGACAGTCTGTTCTTCCCATTCTGAATGCTGCAGAGTGCTCTGACCTGCAAGGATACTATGTAACAGCATAGAAAAGCCTTGTAAAATGTGTGTTTGACCCAAAGTCTCTTTTTTTTCTGGCCCCTCGTTCAAATGGTAACCTCTCAAGTGATCTAAAAAACTTGGATACTCTATTCAAAGTCATTTGCAAGGTTCGGAGGGACCTCTCTTCTATTTCTCTATTCAAAAGTTTCAGGATGGCCAAAAACCTTTTTCTTTTTATTTCTTGGAAATGTTAAGGTCTATTATTTTCAAATTAGTGGTCTTATTCACTGCAGTCAACTTATAATTATTAGTATTTCATTACTTGTATGTCTCTTCATGATCCCCAGAAAGCCTCTTCCAATGTACTTTTCATTTCCATCTGAGTGATTTGATTTCTGCTTTAACATCATCTTTCATATCTTGATTATTTGGCTTTATATCTTCTTGACCAGGTTTCACAGCTTTCAGTTCTCTGTTGGCAGTTTCTTGGCCAGCTTTCATTTCCCATTGACCAGCTATAATTTCTGTCTAAATATAAGCAAAGTCCTCCATCTTTATTCAAATAAAAAGCAGTCAGCCTTTCCAACTCAAATATTATCATCCACACAAAACACAAGCTTTGTAATAATTACCAAGTGGTCAGGAATCATAATAAATCATGGTAGCATATTTTATTCACAGCAGACTGTAGAATACAGATTTGAACAGAGATGGATATTGGAATGGTAACTCAGCGCAGCTTTAGTCCATTTATTCACAAAGAGCAATTTTTTTCCAGGAACAAATGTGTGTTTTCTCAGACAGCATACGCTCATATTCAACTCCAGTTTGTTTGTAAGTGCCTATTTTAGTTATAATTATATACATGTTCAATAACAATGGCAATAGCACCAAGCAGCCACAACCAGTTTGAGCCCTATGTTCCAGGAGCTGTTTAAACCTATAATAAATGATAGACCCTGCCTCAAAAAGCTTACCCTCTATGAATTCTGTATGCCAAAAGCTCAGCTCAGCTACTTTGCCATAGGAGGTAATACTAGTAGTTTTCCTCCTTTTTGTCTACCTTCTCTTTATCTAGAGATAACTTGTACCATTAAAGGAAATCCATGTACATTTCAGTGTTTTTAGTGATCCATCCTGTTAGAGACAACGATGTATTGAGTATTTTTACAGCTTTTTAGTTAACTCAATTTATTTTTCAAAAAGATATTTTTGTTGGGGGATTCCTTTTAATTTTATATAGAACTTACCTACCTGTTGTACCTTTTGGTCTCTTTGCCAAAGTACATTCTTATGGAAAGAACACAAAAGATTAGACATTTCTGGTTTCCATTTTCCTCTTCCGTTTTTTTTTTACCCCCGAGCATCTCACAATCTTCTCATGCTGTAGCTATATTTTTTTCACTGACACTAGACAAACAAGTTATTGAAGTGTTTTTGTTTGTTTTTGCCATTTCCCCCCTCACCTCCAGTTGATGTTTGTAAAGTATTTAACACTCCACCAGGCGGGTTAATTTATTATACTGGTAAATCAGGCTATTTGGAGTCTCTTGAAGCACTGACATGTTTTCAGCTTGAATATCAGATGTCTCCATCCCAAAGGAAAAAATTCTTGCCAAAGCTTTGTTTATATCGATGCCAGGTGCAATCTGGCACAACAGTGGTAGTGACACATGAACACTAAACAGTTTGTAAAAATCACGCTTCCAAATGAAAACTATATGCCATCTGCAAGACCCAGGTAAAAGTCTTACTATGCCATTAGTCTGGTGCAGAAAGTACTCCTTAACCGAAGAGCAAGATATTAAACTGGCTTCTTGGCTCTTTTTACCATTATTGGTGGCTTCTAAACTTCAGTTTCTTCATTAAAAATTATTTTTATTTGGCTTCTTTTAGACTCTTTCATGACTGTACTAAACAGAAATATTTTAACAGATTTTTATAATTACCTCATTTATTGCTTTATTTTATTTATGGAGATTATGTCTAGAACACACAAAAGAAGACTCTCTAGAAGCCTTTTCTATTTTACCCCTTGCACAGACCAATTCTGATTCACTAGAAATTTGACAATCATAATAAAATGCTGCAGCACTATGCGCAGAATGCCAGACTTAACTATATCCTCAGGCAGGTCCAAGACAGGCCTCCACTCACAAAGGTGCTCTGTGCTAAGGTAGGTTTCTGAGCGCACACATGCAGAAAAAATTATTATGACAATGAGAGTCATGTTCCTTAGAACAAGTAATTTCTCAACCCACCAAGCAACATAACAGCATCAACACTCTAGCTCAATGGAGATCAGTAGCATATCATCATCTAATTTCTGCAACACTCATAGGCTGGTTCTTAAATTTAAATGCTAGGGTCAGAGTTTTTAGACACAGTGGTAGTAAAGGACCATGTGAAATGCAATCTTTCAGAAGAGGTTACTTAATGTACATAGCTTTTGTTTTGTGAGTATTTTCTAAATGGGCAATATTGAAAGATTAAGGGTCAGCTGACATAAATCGGCCAATAAAGGAGCAACAACAATTTACATGGTCTGAGGATCTGGACCTTAGAAATCACTCACACACTTAAATAGCATACATATTCTTAATTTAATCACAAGAACAATCTTAGGACTACTTTGCTATTACTGTTATTATTTGTATTACAGTAGTACAGATCTTAGAGACTCAAACCATAGTCTGGGCCTTATTGTGATTTAATGACTATATAGACTATTTTAAAGAATTTGTGTGTGTGTGTGTGTCTGTCTGTCTGTTCAAGACCTCCTCCTAAACAATACAGCCTATCACCACCAAATTTTGTATAAAGCCCTAATTATTTTTTGCTCTCTTTTATCTATACTGCTACATCTTCAACTCTAGGAAATACCAACAAACTTTGTCAATATACGCTTCTTCCTAATATGCACACACATGTAGCCACTAGAAATGACATCATACTCTCCTGAAGCAGATGCAAGTAGATCTTTTCCGTGGAAGTCTGTCTTGCCTTGCAGTCACTCCATTATTTAGTAAGTCACACAATAACCAAGTTTGCAATTGTTTTTCAAAACAAGTTTATAATTTTCTGTGACAAACATCATTGCAGAAATGAGAAGTCAGACTGTGAACAGTCCAAATGTATATATAAGCACCCCCCACACTAGACCATAAGAATGGCAGATGGACAGAGAAAGAAAGTGTACATAGACATATTTTCTGCCATTATAATATAGACCTTTCAGACTTCAGCCAGGAACTTACCATCTGCAAATCTAAGTATTTCCATTTTTACTGAGACACTGATTCAAAATTCATGATTTTTTAAGATCGAGGTCAAGTATTAAGTTGTTTACTTTATATTGTAAAGGCACTTTATCCCATACTATCCCTTCTGCCCAGGGAAAATGACTTGAAAAATTCCATACAGCTACTATGTATCTTCCTTTACATTGCTCTCACTTCCTACCATGATACCTACACAACCTGCCAGCTGTAACAGCTGGGCACGTAGTGAACTAAGATTACAGCTACTTACTTGCTTATGACATCTATGTATTGTGCACATGACTAATGTTTATAAAACATATTCTTCTAAATGCTCCCTCAATTGTTTCTGTCACTCTTTAGGGAAGGGCTGTCTTTTATTATATACTAGAAGATTTACTCAGTGTTACTCAGATCCTTAACTCAATTCATTTTTGTTTTTTGGAAAATAAAATGAAAATGTACATGTTTTATTTGAATCATTGCTCTGGGGTGGGGCTGGGGATTGAGGGGTTCAGTATGCAGGCTGCCCCAGGGAGAGAAGACTACCCCAGCCAGCCCTCAGCATCACACATGGCTCTCCAGTGGCGATTTAAAGGAGCCCCAGGGTAACTGTCTTTTTTGCACACACCCCCCATTGGTGGGCCTGTTTTAGGGATTGTCATTCTTTAACTAGAGGAGTCTGAAAACATTGTACAGTAAAACTCCATTGGTCCGGCATGCAGTGATCCAGCACTCCTGATGGTCCAGCACCATCGGGAACCCAGAAGTACTCAGGGCAGCCGGACAATTGAAGCTGCTCTGCGCCTGGCTTCCCTGATTCAGCCGCTGCTGAAACTGACCAGCAGCTGAATCGGGGAAGCCCGAGGCAGAGCCAATATGCCCCGGCTTTCTGGAATCAGCTGCTGATCAGTTTCAGCAGCAGCTGACTTGGGTACACCTGGGACAGAGCAGCTGGGGCGCTGCCGGGTTGGTCTCGCAATGCCAAGGGTTGGTGCTACCAGACCAACCCGGCAGCGCCCCCGCTGCTCTGTCCCAGGCATCTGGATTCAGCCGCTAACGGCCCAGCAGCGGCTGAATTAGGGATGCCTGGGGCAGAGCCAGACTATCGGAAGGGGGGGGCTATGAAGGGTCTGGGGTGGCATTCCCCCACCCCAACCCAGACCCCTCATAGCCCCCCCTTCTGATAGTCCGGCATATCCGATAATCCGGCACCCCCTGGGTCCTAAAGATGCCGGATTATCAGACGTTTACTGTACTTTAAGAGGAAATTTTAAAAGGGCTCATTTTAAAATGTCATTCTGTCAAGAGTTGGAAAATATTTAAACAAAATATAGAAAAAAACAGAAAATTCTACTGGCCCAGTAAGAAAAAGTGACTTACCCAATTTGAAGACTAAACTCAATTAATAAAAGATGACAACATCCTGCTTTCTGCGCAAATCTGTACAGAACCTTAACTATGGACTAGCTGGGTTTCTCTGGTACAGGACATACCAACAGCTCTTCAACCAGTAGGATTCAGTTCTGCTTGCTGCAATGGGAGTTGTAACAGAGAGACAAATTTGTCTTATGTAGATAAGGGAGAGTTTTGAAAGCAAAAACGGGAGTTAGGTGTCCAACTCCCACGGGCTTTCAATAGGAGTCAGGCATCTAAGGAATTCTACACTGTATCTGGGAATGAGCCTTTTATCCTAGATTGATAGACTTCTGGTAGGGTATGTCTACACTACAAAGTTAATTCGAAATAACAGCAGTTATTTCAAATTAACTTTAATAGCGTCTACACAGGCAAACCGCTATTTCGAAATAAATTCAAAATAGTGGAATCCTTATTTCAAATTTGGTAAACCTCATTCTATAAGGAGTAACACCAAATTCGAAATAGCTATTTCGAATTAAGTGCTGTGTAGACAATTAATTAGAAATAGGGGGCCTCCAGCCCTTCCCAGGGAGCCCTGGTGGCCACTCTGGGCACAACCAGGAAAACTTACTCTCTTCTCCCCCAGCCCTGGAGACATTAAAGGGTAGACTCAGGCCACAGTGCCTGTGCCAGCTTCAAGCCTGCCAGCCCAGAGCCAGCAGTGGCCATCAGGGCTCCTGACCCAGTGGCCCCAAAACATGAGCGAGCAAGCCACTGACAGCCAGCCCTCCACTGCTCCCCAGGAGAAGTCTGCCAGCTCCCAGGATCCTGACAGGGGCTAGAGAAGGTGAGCGCCTTCCTGATCCAGGGTGGAGATCATGGACCTTATTCAGGTTTGAGGGGGGG